ATATCCCGGGGTAATGTTGCATGATCCAGTCTGAGTCGGTCACCAGAACCAGAGGTTTTGTCTTCCAAGCTTTTGGACTTTTGCTGGAGCTCATCTTCAGAGAACTTTTCTCTAGCAAAGTGTGGTATTTATACTGCCTGTTGTAAGTGGCTTTTTAGATTGGGGTGTGTTGATGGCTGGCGTTTAAGTCATTAGGTGCTGTTTGCTTGTGCTGCCCAGCCCTCATCTTCTAAGTACTTGAGAGGCTGGTGGTAAATCAATACTCCTGTTGATTGACGATGAGCCTGTTTTCTAGCTTCAGTCACTTTCCTGGCTATTTTTGTGCCTGCTCATCCAACAATCTTAATAGCTTTAAAATTAAATGTGTGTCCTTGTTCATTGAAGTATGAGGCTACCAATGAATTTGGTTCTCCTTATCTGATGCTCACTTGTGTTCTTGCAATCTGGTGATTAGCTTCCTTCCCGTCTGTCCTACATAATCACAGGGGCAATCCTGTGACTATGTAGGACAGGGGATTTGGTAGATTACATTGGAAGTATCTCCCACCTCCAAGCAATTTTTACAATACATAATTTGTCCTCATATGGTAGCCTCTGGGTGGTATGCAATGTCCACTTGCAGATCTCCGAAGTTGCGTTCTATAGTTTCTGAAATGTTTTTGATGTATGGCAGGATATGCCATGTAGTTGGCCTTGTACCTTGTTTCTTCCTTTCTCTCTTGCAATCCCTTTCTCTCCAGTCTTTATGCTTAGGGGGGGTTGAAAAGGTATTCTCTCCTTTACTTGACCCTCTCATTGCCCCCCCCCCAGTGGAGAGATTAGAAAGGAAGAGATTTCAAGGGAGTAAGTATTGCTCAATGCAATAATGCCAGCGGTGGGAGATGATCAGGCAATGGAGAGATTGCCTATAAAAATTACTTGGTTTTTTTTCTCTTGGCCTCCCTCACAGAGCAGAGCAATAGAGACAAAGGGATTTCAAGAGAGTAAGGTATTTGTATAACTCACTTGTGGCTCCCAACCTTGGCCTGTGGTGCAGTTGCATTGTTTTCAATGTGTGCAATCAGGCACTCAAGCCTTCCAAAGATTGGAGGAAGCAAACAAAACTAGAGATGTGAAACTAGCTAGTCTTGTCTCTTTCCAGCTAGAAAGCACAGTTGCAATCATGTGATTTCCCATTTAATGACTGCTTTGCATAGCGGCGGAGTTGCTCCTCCCAGTTGGGGTCATTAAGCAATGGCTATCTGCATCAACTGATGCCTTTTTGTGGTAATCCTTTTTTATTGCAGGCTTATTCAAGACTAACTGGAACCATACCTATGAGCATTAACCATACCTATGAGCATTAGACCAATGCTTCCTGCCAAATCTGCTGCAGTTCTAAAAAAGCCTAGTGCGAGCTTTGTGTATAGACTTTCCTTGGCTCCTCCCCTTGTTGCTTCTACCTTTTATAATATTTCTAGTCAGAGTAGAAGAAATAGTAATTGTACAATCTTAGAGTATTTCAAATCTGTGCATCTTCGCTCCTAAACTAAGGTAAAGAAAGAACTATAAGGTAATAGAATTGGCCAAAACAAGGGGGGAAAGTGGCCCCTTCTACCAGCTCTGAAAATGGCCCTGGAAAGGTAAAAAAAAAAATTTCTTGTTTCAAGTGAACAGGCAATAGTGGAGAGAATAAGTTATAGGCAGTTATTTCTAAATGTTAAGAATTATGGGTTCAGAGAAGACAATTCATCTATTATACAGAGAAATTATCGGAGAATGTGAAAGAATAAAGGATACGTTTTCCCTTTTCTATGCTCACCATACTACTATCCGCTAATGATATATTAAGGTGCCTTATACCAGTCTGTTTGTTCATTTATCTGAGCTGTCTCTTCTTACTGATAGCAATTCACAAGAGTGTCAGGCAGCTACATCATCTATTATCTGATCCCTTTAAATCAGTGATAAGAAACATTTTTTAGGAGACAAGAATCTGCTGCAGCATTGGATGTTGCCATTTTATGTATCTAGACATGCTAAATGCCTAGATTTTTCTAAATTTACAGAATGGTTAGCAGTTACTTTATTTTTAAAATTGTGTTAGACTTCCTTTTTGTTGGAGGTTCAAATCCAATGGCACTGATTCTTTAGCATGTTATCATCTATTGACTACAAGGGAAAACTGAGTGTAACTTAAGAGTTAAGGATTTCCTATGCGTACACACTTTCTCTATGATTGTGCCTGCTCTTGTCCAATGGATCTTTAACCTGAGGTCAATTCCTTCTGTCTTTATTTCCAGACACATACCAGATTAATAACATGGTCTTTTGACTCTCTCCTGATAAATATAGTTGACTAGATGCTAAGCTTTGTATATTCATATATTATATTCTGTGTAAATAAATTTCCTTTCTAATATAGTTCTTAAACCTGCCTGTTTATTTAACCAATTCCTAAGGCCACATTTAATCCTTGATCAGATCAGATTCCTATTCTCAAGAATGCTCAAATTGCATACGCAGAACAGTTTCTGACTGTTCCTTACAGTTCTCTTACCATTTTTGTGTGATTTTTACCTCAAAATGAAATAATTTATTCTCAATAATTATAGATAAAGGTTTCTCATAAAAGAAATCTGAAGGACCAGTTATTATTCTGAGGTTGCAAGTTGTCCATTTCAGGCAGATGTATTGTTTTTGCCTGCAACTCTGTTACGAAACTATTATTAGGCTCTTATTTCAGGACAACTAAAAGCTTGAACAGAACTATTTCTGTTAAGATCTTTGAGCATATGCATACATACACACATACACAAACATAAATACATACAAATACATGCATACATGTATGTACATAAACACAGAAACATGCAAAGGTATATGTGTGACAAAGAAAGCACACATGGAATTTATTCCATTCCATTTTTTTTAAAAAGATGAGCTATTTTACATCTTCATTTTTGAAATAGCACATATGACTATATGAGTTTATATTTTATTATTTTATAATTTTAAACACAATACAATATACTATACAGTTTGTTTGTTTATATTAATTTTTTTATCCTGCCTTAGTTTTCTTCAACTCAAGGAAATGAATTTGGTTTCAATTCTTAGAAACAGTCTGGCTTTAGTGGTATTTGAATAAATACTTAAAAAATAAATTGTATATTTAAGAACTATTAAAAATTATTTTAAATATTTTAACATTTCAGAAATCAATTTGTTGCATAGCAAATTTATTTTTGTGCAATCAGTTTTAATGTTATTTTTGTGCAATCAGTTTTAATGTTTTTTGTTCAACATGGTATCCACACACCTTTATCAATCCTGGACTATAGATTGATAAATCTATAGATCCAATGCATAATTTGGGAGTTCTCCTAGATTTGTGACTCCTTTCAAGGAGCAGGTAGCAGTTGTGGCTCTGGAAAGATTTTCAGAACTTTGTGTGCTGCACCAGTTGCGCCTTTTCCTGTATCACGAAGCCCTGCACTCAGTCATTCATACTATGATTATCTCTTATCTGGATTATTATAATAATAATAATCATACTATAGCTTTGAAGAGCATTAGGAAGCTACAATTGGTCTGGAATGCAGTGGTGTGGACAGTTTTGGAGACCCCTGAGGTGGCACAAGTAACACCACTGCTATGTGAGCTGCACTGGCTGCTGATCTTCCAATTCCAGGTGTTGCTTATCACCTTTAAAGCCCTTTATGGCATGGATCCAGGATATCTAGAAGAAGAGTCTTTTCTGCTGTGGCCCCCTCCTCAGGCATATCCCGCCAAAGAAAATGAGGTTGGCCCTCACACCTCTGGCCTCCAGAAAGGTCCTTAAGACTTGGTTCTGCCAGTTGGCATAGACCCAATCAAGTTGGAAGTGATTGGTGCAGTGACAGAAGGCACCACCCTACTCCACATGAACCCTTGAGTTATTACCTTTTTCTATTTAATTCTTGTAATTTTAAATGCTTTCATATGTATAACTTTATTTTATATTCCTATTGTATTGCATTGTAAGATGTCTATTGTAGAATGGCACTCTTTGGCAAGGTGAGCAGCATATACATTTAATGAATAAACCCTACACACACAAACACACATATTACATATTACACATCTTGCACTCATATGACTCTGGACTGCTTACAGTCTGGTAAAGCAATATTCTAAAAGATTAAAACATTAAGCAATAAATATAACACTAATAGAGAAATTCTAAGATGGGGGGTTTACAATGGAGTAGAGGTGGATCTTCTATTTAATCCAGTTACTACCTCCAGGATGACAAACCCACATCTGGGCCGCAAGCTAACTGGCAGAGTCAGATTTTAAGGGTCTTATGGAAGGCCAAGAGGATGGGGGGGATCTCACTTGGAGAGGTACAACATTCCAGAGGGCAGAAGCCACAGCAGAAAAAGGCTTTTCTCCTGGACTCCTCAGCTGGAATTCCTTGGCTGACAGAAACCCCCTTCTGCCAGCATGAGTGGGGCAGACGAAGCCCATTAGGTAGCTTGGATCCATGGATCTCTTGATATCTCTTAATAGCATTTTTTCTAAAAAGAAATTAAAGTATAAGTGCACACTGAAATTGAGACAAAATTAAGTAATTAAGAATTAAGAAAGGTTTGATTGATTAGGTTTTAATCCTGATTGATTGATTGATTGGTTGGTTGATTAGGACTGAGTTGAGTGGGGAATGCTCTTGTGGAGGGGGTTTTTTCATAGTTTTCTTATATTTCTGCAAACTTGATTCCTCCAAGAGATGATATCTTGCTCTTGTTTCTTAATTACTCAATTGAGACAAAACTAAGTAATTAGCTTAATTTCTTAGCTTTGTCTCAGTTGAGTAATTAAGAAACAAGAAAAAGGGAAAGAAAAATAGGGATGGGTAATGGACTCTTGGATAGTTAGTGACTATTTGGATTAAATCCTAATCAACCATAATCCTGTTAGAATGTATGGATTTACTGGAACTTTTATTGTATATCTTTTTCTTTCTTTTCTTTTTTCAGAATCTGAATTGTCTAAAAGTAATGAACAAAGTACTTGCTTAGACAGGAAAGAGAACAATGAAATCAATCTAGCTGAAGCAATATTCACAATATTGTCTTATTGCACTTTATCTCCCAAATCTCTTGGTGATGCCCTTCAGAACTACATGGAAAAAGAACTCATGTGGGATTTCTTACATAATATATCAGGTATGTATAATGTAATAAAAATATATCTGGAATATTATATATTCAGTTTTCTTGATTTACAGATAGGGTGTGTTAAAACATAGATCTTAAACTATTCAATAATACAAGTATTCTCTTTCCCTACAAGATACTAGAGTAATTATGGCAAGGTAGTTTTAGAACTGAGTTGATACTGTTAAACATTACATTTGTTTTCATCAATAAAAACAATTTCATATATAAAACATTAATTCTGCAAGAATTAATGTGGCATTTGGACAATATCATTATTCCTCTGAGAACATTTAATTTCTGTCTGAGATATTTTGAAATACTACAGAAATTACTTCCTACTCATCTTGATATGTAGTACCTCTTAGCACTTTCAATTTGAACTTCATTTCAGGGATAAACTATATGAAATATTAATCATGTGGTTTGTTCTCAAGTGCAGGACAGTTTTTTCACAAATAACGGTCACAGTGGGATGGATTGAGACACTAGTAGGGGAGAACTTTAGCTACTTGTTCTTCTGCAGTCCTCTCAGATTCACCCTGTGTCTGAAGCTTACCTTTTCATTTGTCAGAGAAGCTTACATAACTAACTCCCTCCTCAGTAAAATAGTATATATGTTTAGTTTCATAAGAGGTGGGATTGTGCAGATACGAGAACAAAGTTAATCTGGTGCTCTGCAACAAGTATCAGGTATTTTTTTAGAACTGTGCTTTGTATTTAAATTTTTGAACTTTTTCTTTTTTTCTAGTCTCTTACCAAATACCTCCAGAGAATGATAATAATATGATGATAATAATAGACATTTTTCTAAATGTATGTCCACCAAAAATACTTAACAGTTGAACCAGGCATACAAGCATGTTAAAAATGTTCCACTGAGAAAAATATATGATTAAAGTTACAGTATTTGTGCCATAAAGAAATTTAGTTCTATAGGTTTTATTTATTATAAGAATCTAACATTAACAACCAAATAAAACTTTATAAAAATCCTAATATCCAAATTTATTTGACTCTGAGTTTACTTGTTTCACTATCATTAATGTTTGTTTCTGAAGTTTCTAGTTGCAGTGAGTCAGAGCCAGAAGTTATCAAATGCTTGAAATCAACTTTGATTAATTCAGTTAACGGAACAATAAAGGAGGTAATCTCCTTGATGCATTCATGGGAACCAACAGAAAAATATGGCACCTATCTGCCTAATAAAACTGTTCCTGAAAGTTTGTTGAATATAGTTCCAAAGGAATGGAATTACATTTATAAAGATGTGAAAACAGAAAAATCCAGGAAATGTAAGTATCTTTACTTACTTAAATCTGTCAAAATATTAGTTAACCATTTAATTAGAATATGTAAAAATGGAAGCGGTTTTGATAACGAATCCCTTGGTAGCCAATTTATTGTCACAATAAATTGTTGACTTATTTATTAGAAAGTTAATGGAAAAAATATGTATAATTTTAATAAAGAGGATACAGTCCCAGATGCAGCACAGTAAATCATGTTCAGAGGGGAGGAAGAAAGAGCTCTTTACAACTGAATCTTGTGACTCTCTTCCTAGAATTCTCTGTTGTAGTTGAGCTCCATCATTTCCAGATTAAAGAACTACATTTACTCTCAATATGTTAAGTTACTTTAGCTTTTCTGCTGTAGGAGTTGATGACAGTTATTAAATGTTTGTAATTCACTTAAATGGATGTGTAAAAAATATTGGAGAACATGCTAAACCATAAAGCACAGTTAAATAAAAACATTTAAAATATTTTGGAAATGTAGTGTAAAGTAGAAGCAATATGTACTCTTAGAATTAGTCGTAAAAGCAATATGTACTCTTAGAATTAGTAATGTAATTGAAGGAATGTTCGTAACTAGATTAGGCAGAATAAGAAGTATTTTTTTCAATACAATCATTGCAGCAATGAATGTATGCCTCCAAGTAGACTTATAGAATATCTTTTCTTCATATTGCTATAAATTGAATTAGCTTCCAGGCAACCAGAAAAAGTCATGTCAATGAGCTGGATGGCCACAAAAATTTAATAAAGAAACAAACTAACAATATTGACTGTTGTGAGTTTGTAACACCTTCAGCAGCAAGGGATGGATGCACTATTATAGAAATGTGGTATGGCCTATTGAAAGGAAAGAATTTGCTTCTATAAAATTGCACACACATAATAACAAAATCATTTGTTTTATTGTTCTGTAAATATTGTACACTGTAGCTTTATTAAAAAAAACAGTAAAAAGTATTTTGTCACAATAGCTAGCTAGATCAGTGGTTCTCAACCTGTGGGTCGGGATCCCATTTGGGGTCGAACGACCATTTCACAGGGGTCGCCAAACAACGCAGTCCGCCATTTCCCCCCCTTTTCCTTAGCTGTGCTACTCCCTTTTATTCTATTGGCTTTTGAAAGCCAATAGAATAGACTCTCTTGAATAGAGTCTAATTCTATTGGCTTTCAAAAGCCAATAGGAATTGTCCAGGCTGTCTCTGCCCTGCTGAGCCGCCAAAAGTCCCATTCTGCAAACGGTGCTGCAAGTTGTCTGCAGCGAAGGCGAGCTGTCTGGAAGTTTCCACCCCTCCCTGCTGAGCAACTACTAAAAATGTAAGTAAAAGAGGGCCAGGGGTGGGAGGTGGGAGGCCGGCAGGCACAGGGAGGGTTGCTGGCGTGCGTGGGGCCCAGCGGGTGCCTTACCTCCCTTGGGCTGGACCAGCTGGTGGCCCAGCAGGTGGTTGGCCTGCGCCATCTCTGCCGCTTGCCAGCTACGCCTCGGCCGGCGCAGGGGGCGGCGCCACGCATGCGCGGCTCTCCCGGGCAGGGAAAGTCCTTGACTTACGACCGGTTGGGTAGTCCTTGACTTACGACCAGTTGGGTAGTCCTCGACTTACGACCGGTTGGGGTCACAGCATTAAAAAGGTTGAGAACCACTGAGCTAGATAATCCAATATAAATATCTGATCTAATGAAGAGCAGATTAATCTTTCGAGAAAGGAATAAAATTAAAATAAAAATGCATTCCAAATGGGTCTCTGCCTGTTCCAGTATTCACACGTAGTGCCTAGTCTATATTAGATTTTTCTGCATGGTTGAAGCAATGGTGATCAGGTTGGCTCAATCTCATAAACTACAATGGACAGATAGTGAGAGAAATGTGTGATAGTCACAATTAAATTAAATTAGATTAATTTTAAAGGTTGCAATTCGTTGTAAAATAAAACTTTAATCTTAATTATATCTAATTTCATTTTTCTTTTAGGTTTCACAAAGCTTGCTGCTCAAGTTCTATTTATTGTAATCAGCAAGTTACCTTCTGTAATAGCATGTTTGCCATCCCCGATTAAATATTTCTTTTTAATATCTGAGAAAAAAATACCATCAAAGTTTATTGAATCAGAGAAATATGGTTTTCTTGTCAAGACTTTGATTATAATTATATGTCAGATATTTGAGGATGGGAACATCACAGAACTTTTAACGGGTGCAATTCTTGACAGATGGAGCCAAGAAAAGCTCAGTTTAGTTTGCATATGTTTGGAAACTATTATAGGAAAAAAGAAAAAGCATCCTAAACAAGTAATTTGTGAGATTATTCAGAGCATTGAACAGGAAAAACCAAACTGGATTGAAAAGCAACTACTAAAAGCAAAAAAACTGAGCACAAATTGGTAAGAAACATTTTTTTTCTTTTTTGTTGTTGTTACTGCTGCTGCTATTGCTGTTTAAGTATAGATCATGTTCAAATAGTTTATAATTATTTTATTAAAATTAATTATAATAAAATATAGTAAAACAATTTATAATAGAGTCACATAAATCCAATAAATAAATAAATAAAGTTTGAAGTAGTTACTACTGAGTTCCAAGAAAGTCTTCTTAGAATAAATAGAAAACAAGAAAAATATTTTCCTTAGTTGTCCTTTCACTACTTAAGAGTTTGACAATGAATTTTGCTATGGAGATTGGACCTCAGTAGCAATGCTTTACATAGAAGCTTTCTATTGGATTATAAGATTGGTATGAAATAAGAACCTTTAATATTGAAATATATACAATATTAAACATATACAATGATAAATAGATTTAAAGGAAAATTGAAGCAATTCAAAAAAGCATTACAATATATATTTCACAATCAGTTTACAGTACTTGGAAGTTTTGTTAGGAGCTGAATGAAGCTAAATATTTTATGTCTTTCTAACTGATGTATTTGTATCATCTACTGCTAATTATAAGAATACATGTGGCATATGGCATACTTTCCAGGTGATACTACATGATACTGGAGTTCACTGTACTTTATTTCTGTTTTTATGGCAACTTCATTAATTTCTGAGGAAATAGTACAAATTCTCTCTCAAAAAAAGCATGTGGACATTCTATTTGAGTCTTTAATTATTTAGTGGCCTAGACCCAGACTACTTCCATTTCCAGCTATCTTTAGACTGGTCTGTTGTTGTTGTTGTTAATTGCGAAGTCGTGTCCGACCCATCGCGACCCCATGGACAACATTCCTCCAGGTCTTCCTGTCCTCTACCATCTTCTGGAGTCCATTTAAATTCACACTACTGCTTCAGTGACTCCATCCAGCCATCTCATTCTCTGTCGTCCCCTTCTTCTATTGCCCTCAATCTTTCCCAGCATTAGGCTCTTCTCCAGTGATCCTTCCTTCTCATTAGGTGGCCAAAGTACTTGAGTTTCAACTTCAGGATCTGGCCTTCTAAAGAGCAGTCGGGGTTTGATCTCTTCTAGGACTGACCGGTTTGAACGCCTTGCAGTCCAAGGGACTCGCAGGAGTCTTCTCCAGCACCATAGTTCAAAGGCCTCAATTCTTTGGCGCTCAGCCTTTCTTATGGTCCAACTTTCACAGCCATACATTGCAACTGGGAAAACCATGGCCTGGACTATGCGCACTTTTGTTGGCAGGGTGATGTCCCTGCTTTTTAGAATGCTGTCTAGATTTGCCATAGCTTTCCTCCCCAGGAGCAAGCGTCTTTTAATTTCTTGGCTGCAGTCCCCATCTGAGGTGATCTTGGAGCCCAGAAAAATAAAATCTGTCACTACCTCCATTTCTTCCCCATCTATTTGCCAGGAATTGAGAGGGCCGGATGCCATGATTTTGGTTTTCTTAATGTTGAGTTTCAAGCCAACTTTTGCACTCTCCTTCTTCACCCGCATCAAGAGGCTCTTTAGTTCCTCTTCACTTTCTGCCATTAGAGTGGTATCATCTGCATATCTTAGGTTGTTGATATTTCTCCCGGCAATCTTAATTCCAACTTTTGATTCATCTAGCCCTGCCTTTCTCATGATGTGCTCTGCATATAAGTTAAATAGGCAGGGCGACAGTATACAGCCTTGCCGGACTCCTTTTCCAATTTTGAACCAATCAGTGGTTCCGTGTTCGTTCTCACTGTTGCTTCTTGACCCGCATATAGGTTTCTCAAGAGACAAATGAGATGGTCTGGTACTCCCATCTCTTTAAGAACTTGCCACAATTTGTTGTGATCCACACAATCAAAGGCTTTTGCATAGTCAATGAAGCAGAAGTAGATGTTTTTCTGGAACTCCCTAGCTTTCTCCATGATCCAGCGTATGTTGGCAATTTGATCTCTAGTTCCTCTGCCTCTTCGAAATCCTGCCTGTACTTCTGGTAGTTCTCGATCCACATACTGCTGGAGTCTAGCTTGTAGGATTTTAAGCATAACTTTACTAGCATGTGAAATGAGTGCAATGGTGCGATAGTTTGAACATTCTTTGGCATTGCCTTTCTTTGGAATTGGAATGTAAACTGACCTTTTCCAATCCTGTGGCCACTGTTGAGTTTTCCAAATTTGCTGGCAAATTGAGTGTAGCACTTTTACTGCATCGTCTTTTAAGATTTTGAATAGCTCAGCTGGAATACTGTCACCTCCACTAGCTTTGTTGTTGCTCAGATTTTCTAAGGCCCATTTCACTTCACATTCTAGGATGTCTGGTTCGAGGTCAGTGACCATCTCATTGTGGTTATCTGGGATGTTAAGCTCATTCTTGTATAGTTCTTCTGTGTAGTTTTGCCATCTCTTCTTAATCTCTTCTGCCTCTGTTAGGTCTCTGCCATTTTGGTCCTTTATCATGCCCATCTTTGCATGAAACGTTCCCTTCATATCTCCAATTTTCTTGAAGAGATCTCTGGTCCTCCCTATTCTGTTGTTTTCTTCTATTTCTTTGCACTGTTCATTTAAGAAGGCATTCTTATCTCTTCTAGCTACTCTCTGGAATTCTGCATTCAATTGGGTGTATCTTTCTCTTTCTCCTTTGCCTTTCGCTTCCCTTCTTTCCTCAGCTATTTGCAAAGCTTCCTCAGACAGCCATTTTGCTTTCTTGCATTTCTTTTTCTTTGGGATGTTTTAGTTGCTACCTCTTGTACAATGTTGCGAACTTCCATCCATAGTTCTTCAGGCATTCTGTCTATCAGATCCAGTTCCTTAAATCTATTTGTCACCTCTACTGTATATTCATCAGGAATATGATTTAGTTCATACCTGAGTGGCCTAGTGCTTTTCCCTACTTTTTTCAATTTAAGCCTAAATTTTGCAACGAGAAGCTCATGATCTGAGCCACAGTCAGCTCCTGGTCTTGTTTTTACTGACTGTATAGAGCTTCTCCATCTTTGGCTGCAGAGTACATAGTCAATCTGATTTCTATGTTGACCGTCTGGTGATGTCCATGTGAGAGCCGTCTCTTGGGTTGTTGGAAAAGAGTGTTTGTTATGACATCGTATTCTCTTGACAAAATTCTATTAGCCTGTGCCCTGCTTCATTTTGTTCTCCAAGGCCAAACTTGCCTGTTATTCCGGTTATCTTTTGGCTTCCTACCTTAGCATTCCAATCCCCCATGATGATAGGACATCATTTTTTGGTGTTAATTCTATAAGGTGCTGTAGGGCTTCATAGAACCAGTCAATTTCATCCTCTTCAGCACCAGTGGTTGGGGCATAGATTTGGACTACTGTGATATTGAATGGTTTGCCTTGGATTCGAATTGAGAATTGACTGGTCTGTAGGAGAGGTCATCTTTGAAGCTCTTTCATGTCTTTCTGTCTTTGAAAGGTTTTCCGTTTCAAATGTCTTACTACAAAGCCTTATTACATTGCCTGAATCCCTGGTCCTTTGAAATAAATAAGGGTGAATGCATTGTTACATTTCTGTATCTTTGGGCTTCTTTTTTTCTGCCAAACAGTGCATAAGGAAAGATGTAAATGCCATTGAGTCTCAGAGATCCAGTGGAAATCTATAACCCAGCAAATCCAATTTCTTTTTTGCTGATGTTCCAGACAGATTAAACTAAAAAATAGTAAAATGTAAAAAATAATTCACATTTACCAGCCAAGTTCCTCAGTATGACCAAGTCTCACTTCGAAAATCCTTTTGAATTTTTTTGTGTTTAATGCAATTTTCATTGTATTTTTTATTTTGCAGTAGGCTACTAATATTTCCCATTAAAATAATTGAGTTGTGTTGTACTATTGATATTTTGACTATTTCCCAAATAAATGAATTGAACTCTTTCAGTGTGCTTTATATATGTGAACGGTCTTAACTGAAGAAATTGTTATATTGGCAATATAGAGTTAAATTCAGAAAGATGTATATGTTTGATTATTGTTTAACTAACTATTGTCGTTATGTATCAGGAGGTGATTTAATATCTGAGGCACATTCCTATTTGGTAACATAATTTAAACTCAAGTGATTCAACATGATTTACTTTCATCCTGGAGCTATAAAGCACAATTTCAAAAGTGTGTCTGATGAGACAATGTTCTCTCACTCAGAAAAGAATCCTTGGCCTCCTGTGCTTCGGGGAAGGGCACACTGATGATGCTTATAGTTCTTGCCACATTTTTCGCAGGATAATCTGCTTGCAGGTTTTACTATAAGAGCAGCCTATAGAATTCTCACCTTCCCATTTCATCCTATTCATTCTGTTTCTTCTACTGTGGCCTCTGTGGCTGCGCCACCGATTGAAGACACACTCTGCTGTGAAGGTGAGAGAACTTAATTATATGTTGATGGGATCTTCCATAGTACAGTCAGTTATGTCAAGCTTGATTGACATCAGTGGATAGCGCCATACTTTAAGGAAAGGTAATTTGTGTCCAGAATAAAAGCACAAGTCCTTACTTCTGAACACTGAAAATCTTTGGAAGAAGAAAGAAAAGGAAGTGAAGCTCCACCAAAGTTAATTTTTCCCTGATATAATAGAGCTACTGGCAGTGGAATTATTAGATTAACCAATGCTGTGCCTTCTCTACTCATAGGACTGTTAATTTTGCTCTAACATTTTCTAGTTCAGAAGGAAAAAAGAATTGGAGCAGTTTTGGGAGCAGTCAGTGGAATCAGTTGATTTGGTGCTTGTCTCCTCTAATTTGCTATCAGTGGGTGATTATCTGGTTGATCATCAGAGGAATTTCTTTTCTGTTCCTGTTGATACTGATTGGAGATGATGATGATGATGATATCCATTCAGTTGTGTCTGACCTTTGGTGATTTTATAGGTTTCTTGCACTACTTCTTTGAGTTTTTCTGTGCTCTGACTGGTTTCAGCTTTGATGATGTCCAGCCACTGTGTTCTTTTGTGGCCTAGTTTCCTTTCACTGTTCCTACACTATGATCTACAATAATAAAAATTATATTGTAGATTTAGTTAGTTAATTGGTTAGTTGCATTTCTATCTTGCCTTCCATTGACCATTTTTTCCCACTAGAATTTTGTGGGGTAGTTTGGGCTGACATATTGGCACTGGCTGCAAGTCACTTAGTGAGTGTCCATGGATTAGGGTGCACTTGAACTAGGTTTTCTCAGGTCTTAATCCAGCACTTGATATTGGCTGTTCATGGAATCCAGATGTAGGCACCAAGGATAGTTTCTTCCATGAACATTGGTATGTATATCTACTTTTTTCTTAAATCTTTTTAAAAACATTCTTAAGCTCAACCAGATCTTGCTGGATTGGCTTCAAGACTTGTACTTGAACTAGGATCTCTTTTAACAAGATAATTGAAGATTCCTTGCTATCTTTTCTGGCTCAGCAGATAGTGACACACAGTTGGAATTTAGCTAGCTATTATCTTTTTGGGACTCACTTAAAACATTTAAGTTTTAATTTAAGTTTCACTTAAAACAAGATAATATATAATACAAAAATTTAATTACTCATTGATCAGAGTCTTTATGCACAGGGTCGGATAATACAGGCATTTGAAAACCGTTAGTCAGGAGAGAAGGGAGAGATGTGCCTATAGTGCCATCTCAAAACTGGAAGTCCAGCATTGCAATTGTGTTAGTGCAGAATTCTGCGATAATTGTTACTAAAGATGAAGTTCAAAGAATAGATTTCCTATATTACCATTTACCCAAAGAACATAGGCAGTTGTTTCGATTTCCATTAGTGAGCATGGATAGAAAGAAGATGAGTGTTCAGCAACTTTCCAAAGGAAACTAGCTTATTTAGGGCCAACTTCCTCAGACAGGGAGAGCATCTTTGGAAATATAACACTTTGTCATATTTCTGGTTGGCACAGCTCCATTTTGAATAAATGGCTGCTTGAAAAAACGTCCACAATTATAGTTTTCATTTAAACGAGGAAATATTAAGCAAGAAAGGAAAGTTTGTATTTAGAATATTGCCTTTTTGCTAACTACCTGATGCATTTATTAAATTTGATTGTTTGTATTTTTATAAACTGTAGTATATTTTTGCATATATTAAGAAAGTTAAAATATCAAATGTAGTTTTGATTATATTTTGAAGAATATAATCTTAGCTTAATAAAATACAATTAACAGGCATAAATTTCATATTCATAGAAATAGTGGACAGAGTCTGTCTTGTATCTTACTTTAAACTATTACTAAAATAACCTTCACTTTATTGTTACCCTTCCCCCCCCCCCCAAAAAATTATAACTTGTCAACTAAGATTGTGGAGAATACACAGTCTCAAAAGAAATGTCTGCTTTTCAATGTAATTTGTTGAGTTGAACATTATTATTTTTCATTATGGTGACCCTGAGTTGCCAGACTGGGTGCATATAAAGATTAAGATGAATGCAGTTATTCCTTGGCTGAGGTCTGCCTCTTTCAGGGCACATTCTCCCTAATGACATGATTGATAGGCAGTCCCAAATCTAGAGAGGAACTCATTAATCACAACACTGACTGAATCCAATCATTTGCTTCACCTGCACAGTGATGGACAGGAAAGGATACAGTTTGTGTGCTGACACTGAAACAGTCATTTGTCAGAGGGCCTCAACTTTTTCAATGTCATCCTGTAAGCAGCTTGACATAACATTCAGCTGCACTACTATACAACTTCAAAATACTACTTTTTAATTTTGCTATGTTATAACGATGTATTTCTTTGCATATTTTTAGATCAAATATAATGATAGCATATATCTGTAGAATTAAATTTTAGTGACTATAATTTCAAATTATTCACTGCTTTGAATGTTCTAAAGTGATTTATTATATTGTAATATTAATTACTGGGATCTATGTATGTACATGGGTTATATAAATAGATTTAAATGTATTTAAATTTGTTACTTAAATCTAATATTTGTGCCTATGGTCCTTTGTATGTTTATCTGAGAATGGGCCCAACTGAATTTAATGAAGCTTAATTCTGAATTGACCTAGGGTACTAGAGTGCACTTGTATTCATAGGAATAAATACTTGGTATTCCTTGAGAATGTTGTACTATCGGCTCTACTATAATTAAAAATGTTATAATAGCATTGGAGTTTCTAAATTGGTAATTGAGGATTGATGCAATACTGTCATACAGTTTAAAACTTATAATCAGATCATAATATATTAAATTATTAATATTAGAATGGGAATAGTTAGATAAACCAGCTCAGGTGTCACATGCAAAAAGGAAGTGCAAGTTTTTAATAATTTGTTGTTTTCCCAAATTGAAAATTGTTATAAAATTACTCAGTGAATAATATCTTGAAATTTTTTAAAAGGTAGAAGCTTTTAAAAGCTTCATTTAATATAATGATTACATGTGGTGTGTTGATTAGGGTTTAAAATAATGTAATAAAATAAGAAACCAAGGTTACGTTATCGAAAGTGTGCTTTTTTGGTTAAGAATAATAGAAAGCATTTAATTGTCTTATATTTTTACATTAAATATGTTTTAAATCAAATCATATTTGATTTAAATCAAATCAAATATGTTTTCTTTTTATTAGGATACTGTTTTATAAAGTGAGGAGAGTTTAGCATGTTTTTAATTTGAAATATTATGTTTTCTTTTTACTGGGATAATTTGTTCATAAAGAGAGGACACATATATTTAAAAACATAAGCAGAAAGGTAGTTGTGAACACTAAAAAGATATCTGCAAAGTTACACTAAAGGATTTTTGCAAAACTGTGTTTCTATCATTTTATCATATAATCACACACTCTAAGGACTGAACAGCCCAAATCAGGAAATGTAACTATATTGGTCTCCTGGATTAAGACACTATCTTTCGGCAATATTCATCACTTTGTATTGTAATACTTGTGCTTTCTTTTTAGTACAATTACTACTACAAAAGATAGTAGGAGCTTAGAAGAGGAAACTATTGAGCTTGAATTGACTGAGCAGAAAATAAACATGATGGCCTTGGATATCTGCCACAAACCAGGTGGCAGTGAATACCTGAGGCAAATTTATCACATCATCCAGCTCAATGAGGTAGGGAAACGGCCTTTTTTACCGAGCAATTAGGTGTGTAGTGGCCTGAGGCAGCATCTGCTGGCAGCTAAGGGTTACTCAAGGAGGTGATAATGCTTCCTAAAGTCAATACCTGAGTCAATACTTCACTGGGCTATACTGTTCGCTTTAAGCTTTCCTGCATTTATTTATAAAAGGTTACTTTAGGGCATTATATGCCTTTTATTTAGGTATATAAACTCTGTCATGGTTCATTAACTGATTTCTGATTTCTAACACTGACATAAAAAACATTTGTGTAAGTATGTACAAAATCATTTTGTTTCCATTTGTTCTTGTTTTATTTTATTTCCATTGTATTTTAAGGAAAATTAGATTAATGTAATAGTTAAAAGAATATGCATGTGTACAGATTATATTTTAAAAAATATAAACTTATCAACCATAATCATTGATTTTTTTTCAGTGAAAGTCAATTTATTTCAGCTATGTGCAAATTGCCCAATGAGTAAATAAGACAACTTTTATTTTTGAATTGACTTCTGAAGCATTTTTTATTTGTTACTTACGATACTGTCATTGCTCAGTTATGGGCCACTGCTGACTGATATATTAGATTCATGTGTATACTTGTACTCCAAAACTATATAAATGAACAAGATTGCTAATAATTTTTTTTTGTCAGCTTTACATCATATGTGCTAGTTTCTGTAATCATTTCATTTAGGAGTAAAGCTTAACAAAGGAATTTGTAACTTTGAGTACACTTTGTTCATTATTTAAGGAATTGCCATTTGATTTGGGGCATAAATAGGTGGAAGAAAAAATAAACAATGAACAATCAAGAACAATCACTCAACTCCATAAAGCACTTTTTAAAACATCTCCCAATCACTCATTCAATGTCTTAGTCCAATGCCTAAAATTTTCTAGGGACCTTCAAAGAGCCAACAAGGTTGGGCCAGACTGAATTTTAGAGAAAACTGTTGCACAAAGCAGATGCCACTAGACTAGAGAGAAGGGTATGTCTTGAGACCCTTCATAGAAAGGTCATAGAAAGAGCATCCCAACTTTGTTGAATCTGGTGATCAATAGGAATTAATATGAGTAATATAAGCAGGTAAATTAATATGAGTAATATATGCAGGTAAATCAACCCTGTGCCATAAATCAGTGGTTCCCAACCTTTCCAGCTTAGCATACTGGCAGGAGGGGAGAGGAGATGGTTCTATGTGAGTGGCAGGCATGTGTGTGAGTGTGCACAACTCCATTTGCACAAGTAGCGGGTGCTTTCACCTGCCACTTGCACAAATGGAGCTTTGTGTGTGAGAGCAAGTGCCTGCTGCTCTCGCAAGTACCCACTGCTTGTGCAAGTGGAGCTGCGCGTATGCCACATGCAGCCTGTTCTGAATGGGCTGTGGCCTGGTAGTAGGCTGAGGCCAGGGAGTTGTGGACCCTGCCACAAAGGGCTTTGCAGATGACACCCAGCACCTTGAATTCTTATCTGGAAGTCTATTGGTAGCTCATAAAGTGGTAGTGTAGCATAGGTGCAATGATATGTGGCCATAGCTATTCACACTGGCACATTATGGCTAGTACAGCTTCTGAATGACACTTCAGATCCAAGGCTTCTACCTGGTTCTTAAATAGGAGTCATAATTCTAGGAGGATTTCCAAATTATATTCCAGTTCTGCCTGGGGACATGGGTACCATCCTATCCAGGACTAAAGATGGAAGCTTCCTCAAAATATTGGCCCTAAAACCATTCAATCTTATTAGAGTTGAAAATAAGCCAGTTTCTCCCAATTCAGATTCCCCAGAGCTTCCAGACACTAAAGAGGAACCTTGGAATCAAAAGAGGCAGAGATATACAATTAATATTATCAGAGTTCAATGACAGTTCAACTCATGCCACTTGATGACTTTACTCAGTGGTTTTATGTAAAGTTTCAATAGGATTAGGAGTTTACAGCCTGAAGTACCCCACAAAGCAAATCCCTAGGGTTTAACCTTCCTTTCCACCCAACAACTGGAAAAGTCCTGTGAGGGAGGAAGAAAACTACAACATCATCCCACCCCTCTAAATCAGCCCAGAAAGATACCATGATCAAGGGTAGTTAAAAACCATTGTCAGATCAGGGAGGGCCAGGATAAGAGTATCACTGCCATCCTAACTCCTCCAAGGTTATCCACAAATGCAGTCAATGCTCTCTTATTGCTATATTCAGGCCTGAATTCTGATTGAAAAGAATCAGATAATTTGTTTCTTCCAGAATCTGTTGAAGCTGAAGTTCAACTACCATTTGTAGTAACTGTGAGAGGGAATAGTAACTGGCATAGAATAATCCCAAACTCCCTTTGAAATCTTTCATGGTGGGAGCAGTATGGAAAAAATCCAAAACAATCAGAGAATGATCCAACCATGATTGGGGACTGATTTGAATGCCCCCTGTATCCTTATTGCGTTGCCATTGTCCTAAGACAAAACCAAATTCAAGCATCCCTTCAGTGGAGCAATCTTATCAGGAAGATCTTATCTGTTACTGCATGTGTCCTGTGGAACAGCCTCCCCATGGAAATCCAGATGGACCAAGCCCTGTTGGCTTTCTAGAAAGCTGTAAAAACTTGGCTTTTGCCACAAGTGACGGGCCAACCATGGCCTCATAAGGTACTTGTGACTCCATGCTCAAGAAAAGCAAGTTGGAATCCCCTCATACTATTGTGATGTAATCCACTAACTTTGCTATAGTTTCAAGCAGCTCAAGCAGGAAAGTCACTGTGCTGCATAATGCTGTAGAGTAGCTACAATCCTATCAGTGAATTATCTAAAAGATTTATTTTATATACAAAAGATACAATTATTTAATTATGTTTCTGCAAAATATATAGGAGGAATTTAAATCCTTCATGCATTTACATAACTGACTACTTTGTTCTTCTCCAGCATAATTAGTACTTAGTTGGAATTCTTTTTTAAAGGATTATTTGAATGAACAGCTATCTTATGAGGGAACTTCTGAAGAAAACCCAGCAAACATCAGACCTTTGCATCTAATGTTACGAAGCAAAGAACAACCTGTTTTTGACCCTTTGCAGGTGCACCACTGGTATTGCACTAATGTGTTAAAAAAGGTTAGTCATACGAAGTGTCTAATGTTGTTTAATATTTAAATCTGTTAATAAAATAAAATCTAATGCCTAGCTCAGATTGCTTTTGAAAACCTTGAAATTATAGTTATTTGGATATACATATATACCATTTGACAAAATCGTATGTGCTGTATAAACTTGTCCTCTTTATTCAGAATCTTGCAGTGAATTTAACAACATTGATTGGATGATCAAAAGAAAACCTGATTCATTATTAGGAACTCTGCAACCCAAACTTTTTGATTACAAATAGAATGAAAACAGACAGTTATAATTTTCCCAGAATGTACTATGTTACTTCGCTGAGTTCTGTCTTTATTATTATTGATCTTACTGCCAGCTATCTTTATTGCCCAAAAGTGTAGTTTTTGCAGGAGAGGGCGGAACGGGGAAGGTAGGTAGGTAGGTAGGTAGGTAGGTAGGTAGGTAGGTAGGAAGGAAGGAAGGAAGGAAGGAAGGAAGGAAGGAAGGAAGGAAGGAAGGAAGGAAGGAAGGCATTTGCTTTCAAGTTCCTAAAATACAAAAAGGATAGTAATGGCCTTTAACTTATATAATTAAATAAAACTTCATACAGTTCCAGCACTGGGAGCTAGCAGAGAAGATGTACACTGATAATCTACTGCAGATATGTCAAACTCACGATGTCATGTGACATCACGCAACGTATCGGGACTGTTTTTCCATTGGCAATGGGGTGGGCACAGCTTCTGTGTGACATCCAGCCCATGGGTGACAGTTTGACACCCCTGATCTACTGCATTCAATAATGAATCATGCTTATAAGTAATTCATAGAAGCAAGGACTGGTAACTGTATTGGCAGAGTTTCTCCTGTTATAGTATCTTCCCCATGTTGCCTCCTCATTCCATTTAATTTCATGTATTGTGACTGTATTCTAAGATTTCATCCAAATACTGTAGGATGAGTTGGGAAATAATATTGAGCAGTATGGGATGGAATGAATACTTCCAATTAGATAAAATATTACATCTTAATTACTTTCTCACATAAGCACATCTATACATTGATAAAGAGAATAAATATTATTATACAGAAAATTTGAACTTTGTTCCATCATTGTATCTGATGTAGGGGGTTAAGGGATGCTCTAATCAGCACTTGTAAATTGTTCCCTACAAGTTTGACAGTTAAGGCTTTTGGTGTTTTATTGGTTTCTAAAAAATTTTAAGAAGCCAATAGATCTTTTGCCAGAAGATTATTTTGATCCCTTATGCCTGATTTATGACACAACTATGCTTAATTTGGAAATTTTGGCAGTCTTATTAGCTGGAACATCTAGATCATGCTCATCTCATGGAAAATTATCTTCTTGACTCAGAGTAGCTTCAGATGAATAATATATAAGAGTGTAACATTCTTGGTGATACTATGGTTTCAAGTGAAATGTCAGACCTATCTGGCATTCAGCAGAGATTTGAAATTAATTAATTAAGTGAGACCTAAATCTGTTCCCAAGTTATAACAGGACTGTATCAAAGAAGATATAATAGATCCTAAATTATTTGATTATTAGAAGTAGTTAGGAAAATAGATTATTGAGACAACCTTACCCTGTGAGCAATCTTGCCCCTTCTTCCATATGGAACCCTCATCATAGTCTTATCTAAGCAACCAAGTGTTACCTAACAACTGGACACAAATCTAAAAGAATGAGATCTTTGCATGTAAATTAATTGCCAGAATCTGTGTAAGATGGTTCTGTGCTTAAACTGATGGCCTTCCATGAATTAAGTAGGATTAATTCATTTTAGTGTTACTCATCTTGATCTCCCTTTTACTTTTGTAGAAAAATCCTCTTTGAATTTCCCCTTTTAAACAAAAAATAAAATGGTTAAGATTGTTTAACCACTGAGCCACCTGGATAACATTTTATAGTTGCCAGAAGAACCAAACAACTCAGTATTTGTGTCTCTGATTTGCAAGCATCTCCCTTCTGTTGCAGAAGACAATATTAAAATATCTAAGAGGACTGTTGAAAAACCTCCATAAATTATAGTTGCCAGGTTTTAAAATTCTATTTTTAGAAATAGCAGATTAAACTTCATGAGAAACATAAATCAACATAAACATTAGAACAAGATAGATAAATCTATTAATTGCCTGGCATCATAACTCATATTGACTCCTTGAAATTTGAGGGTGAGGGGGGAAGAAGCCACCTCAACATTCTAAAAATTCTTCTTTCAGTTCTTATTTTACAAACCTCTCACTTATGCCCTCTCCCCTGGTTTCCTTTTAGATATAATGAACTCTATGAACTTTTGTTTTCTTTACTAGAAATATATAGATATCTTTGTTTTGAAAAGTTAGTAACTCAAATTTAGAGCTCTCTTTTTTAGAATAAGATACATATATTGTGCTATATATTTGACCGGCAGATGGTCAGTGTTTACAGCTTTGATGCACCTAATTGTCCATTGCAAAAGGAATATGATTGTTATGAGGCATGCCCCAAACAGATGATCAGCACTCTCTGAGTTAGTAGTACTTTTATGATGATCAGTGGTGCATGCAGATTCTGAAGCAGCAAGAATGCAGCGCTCATTGTCTCAGATGCTGAGTATGTTGTCTCCAGCACACATGCATACATGCAAACACACATACGCATATGTAAAATGCAAACCTTGAGGCAGTGTTGTTGTTTCTGTATCCAAGTACACTACAAGGCAATTAATAACAACATTATCTCTATTGCTATGTGGTGCAACTTTGCAAGATGGCCAACAAGATATATATTAGTGTCTTAAACTCAAAGGTTACATATCTTGAAGGAGTCAGTATGGTCACATATGACCTTCTCTGACTTGACTTTGAGCAGCTTGTTAGGTTAACAATAAAGCTGTGCTTGAGTGTGCTGAACCATCAGTTTGTCAGAGAGCCAGCAGCTTGACATACTTTCCTACATATTCAGAGCTGAATTTGACTAGGAAATCATGCACAAAATTACATTTTTGTTAATGACTTTGCTACAGTTGGAATTATTTATAATCTGGTAATGGTGTGAGAGATATTCCCCATACTGTTTTGGGAAAAATTAATAGTGGTAACCAGGAGACATTAAGAAAGGAGAAATAATAACTTACTCCTGGGAAAGGAGAAAGTGTGAGAAAGAACTTAAACTGACCTCTCCTTGATTCTGTTTGGTATAAGAAGGGGCTAAGGGAAGTTCTGGCAGGTTTTCAAGATTGTGTTTATTAAACTCTACAACAATAAAGTAGCATTCCACTAAAATTTGTGGCATCTTTTTGCTTACCCATCCTGCTTCAAAAGACAAAGTGCAGAAGAAAGAAAATTGAAAATATTGGCAAAAATTAGTTTGAACATTTAATGAACAAATATTTTTATCATATTGTATATTTCTATGAAAATATTAATAAAGGTACTCATAAATGCTGGTTAAGCTGATTAAGGTTTCATTTCAGATAAATTCAACTCAAACTGAAGATTTGTCTTTTGGATTTCCTACTGTCTTAAATATTGTTTGACTAAATGATTAAGTTAAGCTAGCCTTTAATTTGGAGTGTAGACAATATTTTTAGCTGCTACAACTGACTCCTTCATTCATTAATACCATAGTAGTATAAGACCTTCAAAAGCTGACAACTCTGGGTAAAATTCAGTCACTGTTTGACAGGACTGCATTGCTCTATTAACCTGAAAGTGACAAGCAATTGTTACTGTACAGTAGCTACAACTTTGGAAACCTTTGTTATATTACCTTGACTTTGCAGCTAAGAGATTTTTAAAAAATGTTCTTTTAATATGCTATCATATAAAAATAATTTGATATTTAGTAAATTGATACTGTTAACAAGTGATCAGATTTTTCTTCAAAATATCTACATAGTTATATCAGGTTTTACTACCTTCACTGGTGACTCTCGGGTTCTTTGTCATAAGACAGGTTGCAACTAATATGAGGGTGATTTTGGATGTAATAGGTAACTTATGCCTCATTCTACTTATGACAGTGCAAGGAAAGAGAGAAATTATTGTTGTTCCTCTTTTTCCATTGTAGTTTTTATATTCTCTGGAATTCTAAGTGTTTTCTTCATGCATTTTTTTTTAAAGGATGTGACCCAGGAAGAATATAGTGGTATGTTTAGAGCCTGAAAAATTTCCATATCCTAAACTTCTGAATATTTCTACTTTATTAGTTAACACAGGGATTGTGAATATGAGATTGAGAAAGTCTCTGCCTTGGCAATATGAGACAGAAAATTGATTCTAAATGGAGAAAATCCAATTATTGAGAACTCTGTAACTTTATTCCTTTTTAATAAATCTTGTTAAAGAAACTCTGGAAGAATCTTGCTTTCTGTGAAAACGGGGTGACTAAGAACTTGATAATGGATGAATATGGACTCTAGAAGTAAGCAACTGGCTATCCAGAAAGTCTTAATGGGGCATATTTCAAGATGAGGAATTCCTGTTAAGAGGCACCCTCATGGGAGCTAGGAAGAATGTGTTTGAAAGGCATCATGCAAACCTGATTCAAAACGCTTTGAACTGTGTGAGGGAGGAGCAGAGTCTAGAAAATAATGCAAAGCCAAGCCCTGGAACAGGACTGAAAGAAATATACAGTGTGTGAAGAGACCCAATAATGAGCATATAAATACAGCAAAGGATGGACCAAGTTACATGCCCCCTAGAATTCCAGTATCTCTATAAAAACAGAAAAAGAACTTGAAGTCCTAACACTGAAAAGTGAACATAATTTAATAGACATAATTGAAAACTATTGAGATAAAATCTCATGAGTAGAATGTAAAGACTGAAGAATATAATATTTAAAAAGGGACTAGAACATAATTAAAAATAGGGGAGAGGTGAGGAGGAATGGCACTATGTGAAGTTCCAATATTGAGAGCAAGAATTTGAGTATAAGACTCCTAATAAAAACACTTGATTAATAATATAAGGAATGAGAAGCAATGAATATATTACTATAGTAGTCTTAA